TTTCTCCGCGGCCAATCCCCTCTGCCCCCGAACTCTCCTCGACACGCGCTGTGGTCCGCACCCGCACACGCGCAGCCACTTCGAGACCCGAACAGTCTCGGCTAAAGGAACGAAGAGTGCTGGCGGACTGCACCCCGCTGGACTGGACAGAAAACAAGATGTCAGAAGATCGATCTGCCGCAGCCGGGAGAGCAGATCACTTAAGTGGCGCCACCCAAAGGACCGAAACGAATCTCTAGCAACGCCGAACGACGCATACCCACAGCCATGCGAGAGTTGAGTGGGTTCGTGGTTTGTGATGGTCAACTGTGCACGAATGACATATAATTAGCCACTGCGGAAAGTTGCGGAATCAGGAATAATGTGGGACATAGACAGAAAGTGACACAAACACATCCAAATACATTGAAACATTGGCCTCGGGATCGCGAGATGAGATTGTACACACTCAGTCCATTACATCTGAGTATATACACACTTGACCTGCCTCAGCTTCTTGATATTCTTCAAGAGATACTGCATGACTCCCAAGTGACCATTTTGAGCAGCAATGAAGAAAGCTGTCGCCCCACCAGCACCCGTTGCTTCAATGTTCGCCTTTTGCTCGCACAAGAATTTCACCATTGCCTTGTGCCCATTTTGCGCAGCAACGTAGGCAGGGCTTGTTCCATTCTCCAAAGAGAGCTGCACATCAGCCGTCCATTCAACCAACAATTTGGCTACATCCAAATGGCCATTTTGAGCTGACACAAAAAGAGGAGTTGCAAGGGTAGACATCGCTTTGTTGACGAGAGCTTCATAGGACAAAAGGATGCTGGCCGAGCTCTGGTTGCCATTCTGCGACGCGATCAGAAGCGGTGTCGCTCCATCATTGGCTGCTACGTTGGGTTTGGCCCGCGCATCAAGAAGCAACTGGAGCGACTCATCGCAACCCTTTTGAGCCGCAATGTAGACAGGCGAAGCGCCTCCTGCCGTCCTTTGTTCTAGGCTTGCCTTCCAGGAAAGAAGCAGCTGAACAATGTCAGCATGATTGTTCCTCAGAAACAACACAGGGTTAAGTTGCTTAGTGAAGGTCTCGGTTGATTGAACAAACACTTGCTGAAGGCCAAAACTTGTCTTTGAGGCCAAATTGCTGGGCCGCAATGAACAGCGCAGCTGCACCGGTTCGGTTAGGAATGTCGAAGGAGCTTCCAGCGATGAGAAGCATCTCCACGACTCCATAGTGACCCATTTGGGAGGCTATGAAAAGGGGTGTAGCTCCATCAGTCGTCCGAGCATCCAAGTTAGCGTTCGATTCCAGTAGGAATGAAACAAGTTCTGTATGCCCGTTTTGGGCGGCAACATACATTGGAGTTGCTTCTGTGTTCAATGCCTTGTCCACCTCGGCTTTGTATAACACCAAGAACTTGGCCGCGTTTAGCCAACCATGTTGCGCAACAATGAAGAGTGGAGT